CCAGTGGCCACTCCCGGCCACCGCAGCCTCGACCTGCTGGGCTCCGGCGATCCTTCCGCCTCAGTCTTCCGAGTAGCCGGAATTACAGGCGCGCACTACCACACCCAGCTGATTTTTTGATTTATTGTAGAGATGAGATCTCGCTGCCCAGGCGGGTCTCGAACCCGCGGGCTCAGGCAATCCACTCACCTCAGCCTCCCAAAAGCGCGGTACTACAGGCTGAGCCACTGAGCCCGGCTAGGAGCTATTTTTTTTTCCCCCCGGGAAGTCTTCTATAAGCACCTCTCCTATAAGTTCCTACAGCACCCATAACTGACACCATCATGACACTCATCACTATTAGGAATGAAACTGGAGGCTCCAGGAATCTTGTCTACCACTGAATACCCAGCATCTAGTAAAGAGTCAGGCACAAGGTAGGGCTCCACAGATATCTGTGGAATGAGTGAAGTAATAGCCAAGCTATTGGGACATCGAAGTAGAGACACCCAGCAGGCAGTTGTATAAAGGTGATAAGGAAAAGAGTGCTGAAGGGGAATTGGAGGTTTTTGACTTACAACATGGTAAATGGTGGTGCTGTTAAGATGAGCAGGAACAGTTCGGAGGGGAGATGGTATATTTATTTTGGATATGCTGAGTTTGAAGTGGCTCTGAGACAGCCAAGTGGCACTATTTGGAAGGAAATTCATAATGTAGCCTTGAATTGTAGGAGTAAGTCAGGGCTAGGAATAAGTTGTATTTGGTAATAATGAAGCCAAAGGAATTGGGGTTGTTCACTCAGGGAGAGTGGAGTGTAGAGAAATTAGGAAAAAATGCACCGAGACAGAACTTGCAATTAGGGAATTGGCAAAAATAAAATGAGAGGTCAGGAAAGGAGGCTGAGGAAGAGTAGCCAAGTAAGACGATGAGAAAAGGGCTGAGAGGAATGTCAAGGAAACAGAGAGAGGCAAGCATTTGAAAAAGGAAGGGCTGGTTAATAACTAAAAAACTGCAGAGATGTTCAGTTAGAATGGTCTTTCAGCCTCAACGCTACTTTTTTTTTTTTTTTTTTTTGAGTTGGAGTCTTAGTCTTCACCCAGCCTGGAGGGCAGTGGCACGCTCCTGACCACCGCAGCCTCAGCCTGCTGGGCTCCGGCGATCCTTCCACCTCAGCCTTCCGAGTAGCCGGAACTACAGGCATGCGCTACCATGCCTGGTTAGTTTTTTTTTGATTTGTTGTAGAGACCAGGTCTCACCAAGTTGCCCGGGCGGGTCTCGAACCTGCGGGCTCAGGCAATCCACTCGTCTTGGCCTCCTAAAGTACTGGGATTACAGGCTGAGCCACTGAGTCTGGCCTTGCTGACATTTTAAACTAGATGATTCTTTGTTGCAAGGACTGTGCTATGAACCATAGAATGTTTAGCAGTGTCCTTCTCTTTTACACGCTAGATACCAGCAGCAGCCCCCTCTCCAGTGATGAAAACCAAAAATGTCAAATGTCTGTGTTTGAGAATGACTGAAATGACTCAATAAACACTTAAGAACATTTAGTCAGAAACTGTACTGGTTGCTTCCGGCTATCTTATTTTATATTCCTGGATTATCTATATTGCTTGTCAAAATCCATTACGTGCAATAAAAACCTGACTCATTTCTTAAACAGATTCACTCTTTGCCAACCCAGTGTGAAAGTCTTTTTTCTCATTACTCTAAATGGATTAGCAGTTTAGTTTTTAAGGTTATAATTATTTTTAATTCTTTTCTTTTTTAAAGTGAGTGACATCTGAAACCACTGACTACATTCATGACAAAATGTAAAATGTTTATATTAGTGGTGAAAGGTGATTCAAGAATTGGTAAATAGGATAGATGAATTAGAGATAGATGTATAAATCTATGGGAGAGATATATGGCTAAAGTTTTTACCACATCCTAAGATATATTAAAATACATGGAGAATTATGAACTTTTCAAAATCAAATGAATTTATACCTGCTTTAGGTTTACAAAATCATCTAGGAAGTAGGGAGTGGAGATGTAACAAAATCAAATAAACATCATTTATATGAAATTGTTGTATACAGTAAAAATGTAGTTGTCATTGACTTATGCAAATATAATATCAAGTATATTTCTTGATGTATTAAAAAATGACTTACATCCTGGAAATATTTGGCAGATTTGAAAATGCACCACTGGGAATGGTTTTCAGATGAGTCTCAATAAACTTCCTGTGAAAATAACAGTTGCACAATTAGAGTTTTAATCATTGAGCTTTTCTAATAATTCACCTTAATTATCAAAAAACATTATTAAAAGCATGACAGTCCTTATAACATATATTTCATCACGCATAGTAAAAATAATACTCAACTAATGTACAAAAAAACTATGCATTCATTTTTTTCCCAATAGGACGATAATTGAAAGGCTATGTAGAATATTCATATCAGGACTACTGAATTCATAGCACATACTTATCAATGGAAGTATCTTGCAATGCTGTCAGAATATACATCAAGGACATAGTAAGAGGAACTAAGTGTATTTTAATATGAAAAATTAAAAATAGTGGTATGGTTACCATCTTTTGGCCTAAGTGAAGACCTCTTCAACCATTACCTTGATCTTATCATCTACTTGCTGCAGTTTGGAAATAACTGACTGGCAAGTAGCTAATACTTCCTCAAGATCTTAAGATATCTTGCATACATCTTTAAAGTATGTTTTTTCATCCAGTTTGCTTTTTTTGCTGCTGTTCAGAAGGCAGAGACTGTTCTCCTTGTAAATAATGGGACACCTTCATGCATTCTGGTATGCCTCTCCACCTAGGTGCACCAACTTTTAAGTTACCTTCTTTGCTGTAGTGACCACTTAAATAGAATCGTGTATGGAAAACGGTGTGCCTAGTGTACTAACGTACTTGGCAAAAAGACAACATCTCAGCACACTATTTAACTTCTCCATGTGTCTGCTATTGGCATAATCCATTTAGTATCTTATTTATAGCTAGTAGACTAACATTGTATATTTTTGTTTCTAAGCCACAGGGTTCTGTCTCAACAATCTATTTCCTCTATGCTATCTTTGGACTACTCAGTTTTTTTTTTTTTTTTGGCAGTGATTGAAATATATCTGTAACATGCCTAATCAAAGCATCAGCAGGGTCACATTAGTGGATAAAAAGACCTATTAAATTGGAGGGGGAAGTCATGTGAATGTAAGAGTAAATTTTCTTTGCAACCCCTGGTCTTTCACCCTGATGCCCAAGGTTGTCTTAAGATGATTTCAGAAATTCAGGTCCCATAAATTACCTGTCCTCCCTTGAAGGTCTTCCACTTACATTACCTTAACTGAGTTGATTAAAAGCTTGTTGGTCCAGATCCAGAATTCTGAAGTTTAAAAGATATGAGAAGAACAAGTCGTTCTACTAAATCTCTATGTAAAAGTGGGCCATGCTAAAGGAAAACAAAGGATAAGATACACACCTGTTGGGTATCACCCAATATGATTGAGTTTCCTATGTGCAAAGATAGTCTCATTTAGAGAGCTGTCCTAAAGCAAAAAAAAAGAAAAAAAGAAGGAAAAAAATCTTGCTGGCTTATTTATTATAAGGTTGAACATACTGCTTGTTGGTAATTTGGGTCTAAATTGAAACTTTCCCTGACTAAAAATTTTTGGCTAGCTTGTGTTCAGTAACATGTATCAAATTAAATAGAAAATTAGAATAAGATTACAATGGTGTCTAAAGTTTGACTTGGAACAGAAATAGCATCTAAATGCAATATAGTAGACTTTGGGTTAAAGGTTCAAATAATGTTTCTATTCTTTCCCAAAATATGAGTTTCTGAAATATGTAATACCTGTTTCTTGAATTCTCTTTCTCTTTTACCAAAGTCACCAAACAAACTAACAAAAACATATATTCATTTTCTGAACAAAGATCTTTTCCCTATTACTGAGTTAGTTGTGACAGAATGCTACTTTTAAGTAGCATTAAGCAGAAATGCGAATTTTTTGCTTAATTCCACATAGATTTTCTTCCCAGCCAGATTTGTCACTAAAAAAAGCCCCACCAATACACCTAGACCCGTAAAGATTTTGCATCTAAGAGTAGATGCATGTTAGCAATATACAACATGCGCAATAAATCTTAAAAGCGAAGTGGGGAGGTACCAGCAATCCCAGCCTAAGATGAAAATAAATGATCTATTTGCTGAATAAATTTAGTTAATATGATGACAACAGAGCCTGGGTGGTTGATTTCAATAATGTTGAATAAAGTATCAGAATGGCAACTGGTTGTATAGGTTGTCAAATTCAATTTCAATTGAACAATCATACATTTTGCCTGGATTTATTCATAGTAATGTGTATATACTCTAGAAACACAAATCCATTATTGAGTTTTTATTTATATATTTTTTTACTTTTATTTTGTTTGTTTTGTTTTTTTGAGTTGGAGTCTCACTCTGTCGCCCAGACTGGAGTGCAGTGGCCGCTCCTGGCCACCGCAGCTGGAACTACAGGCGCGCGCTACCACGCCCGGCTGATTTTTTGATTTATTGTAGAGATGAGGTCTCACCAATTGGCCCAGGCGGGTCTCGAACCCGCGGGCTCAGGCAATCCACTCACCTTGGCCTCCCAAAGCGCGGGATTACAGGCTGAGCTACCGAGCCCGGCTTATTTTTTTACTTTCAGTATAAATTGTCTTGGCTGCCTCTTTAAAATTCACCACGTGGCCGGGCTCGGTGGCTCAGCCTGTAATCCCGCACTTTGGGAGGCCGAGGTGAGTGGATTGCCTGATCCCCGGGTTGGAGACCCGCTTGGGCAACTTGTTGAGACCTCGTATCTACAATAAATCAAAAAAATTAGCCAGGTGTGGTAGCGCGCACCTGTAGTTCCAGTTACTTGGAAGGCTGAGGCTGAAGGATCGCTGGAGCCCAGCAGGTCGAGGCTGTGGTCGCGGGGAGCAGCCACTGCACTCCAGTCTGGGCCACAGAGTGAGACTTCAACTCAAAAAAAAAAAAAAAAAATTTCACCATGTTAGCTTATGCTTTCTTTTCCTTTCTTCCCTAGTTTTAAAAATGTACTTTGTCTGGCTAACCTTAGGAAAACATTTAGGAAGTTTTCTTCCAAGGCAACTTCAAATAGAGAATAAAAAGAATTGGCAAGGACACAGCATCTAGCCGATTATATAAAGAAGATGCCACATTTATTTATAGGGTTTTGTTCCATTCTCCTCCACTGGCTTTACTCGAAGATGAGGGTTGTGGAGAGTGAATTGTAAGATGTAGATGCCTTGCTGACCCCAGTTGACCCAAAATGCATGAGCAATAACTCTTAGGAGAGGTTTTGTGATTGTTTTGTCATGCAGCAGTTTTGTAGTTAGAGCTAATTGATAGAGTGTTTATCATCAATCTTTTTTTCTCTTTATCCCTCCAACTAGGGGCAAATAGCTGGATGTTCTTTCAATTGTTCACATTTTCAACAGCAGAACTTGTATTCAAAGACTCATGTTATATTGTGATGACTGCTTTAAAAGCAAATGGGAGAAAAAACAAATGAATATGATTATTTTGGCAAAATATTTTAATTCCAGAATACATTTTGAATATTTGTGGAAAAAGAAGCCAATGTCTAAGTATATATTCTTTTGGCAAAATTATTAGAAAAGCTTCAAGGTATTTTGCCATTGTCCAAAGAATTAGCATCAAAATAGTGTATGTGTCACAGGAAAGTATGCTAGGTGCTAAAAAAACATCTTTATTTGCCTTTGATGATTCAAAATAAAAAGGAAATGATTATTTTCTCTAAAATACAATTTAAAAGCTCAGAAATCTCACTTCATACAAATAGTATAAGTATTCACTATTACTGATTAAGGCATCATATATAACTCATCAAGAAAAATAAGTTCACTATAGTTTTATATTCTAGGCAGAGTATATACATTTAATAGTTGAACAAGTTGACCTTTAAGATATGGAAATTACAAGATATGATACATATAAGCTGATTTTACAATTTACATTTTATTTTATTTTATTTTTTTTCCATTTTTTAAATTATAAAGATATGGGGTTAAATTTATTTTTCTGTGATCTACTTAATCAAGAAGGATTGTAGAAGATATGACTTGAAGTCAAATGTTTCTATGGGCCTTGCAGAAGCAAGATTTATTTTTCTCTAGTGTCTGCATTTGGAAGATATAATGCAGAGATAGAAATACATAGAAATCATCACTGATTGATGCAGATTTTGCAGAATAGGATCCAGTTTTATGTACTCTCTTTTTGTTTTGCAATAGCAATGGTAAAGAAAAATCTGGTTAAACATCTAGTAAAGAGAGCAGAGACTTTTCTATGTTCCAACGAGAGCAGTCTTTGCAATTAAAATTTTCACAGTAATCTTGCAGGATAGTAGACTCATTTTACTGAAATTTCATCAACATGTAAATCCAATTGACATTCCAACATCTTGTTTCTGGAATCTCAAAGACAGTTTTTGTGTATATGTGCACATGCGGGTGTGGGTTTTAATTAACCAAAGCTGCGCTTTTCTCACTGCAGCTACCGCCTTCATGAGCATGACTGAATTTTACTGGGATGAGAAGCCTGGTTGATCTTTGCCACACTAAGCCTATGTGATCCAGAAACACCAAACTTCACATTTGTGTATCATATTTTTGGTCCTCTGGCAAACAGGCTGAGAATATTTTGTGATTCTGCATTAAGCTTGTTCCTTTCATGTTGCAGCGCTATGATCTATATTTCTATATTTATTCTGAGTACATAATCCCTATAGCTCTTGTGACAGTCTTTTGCTGACAATGTAGGGTGTGTTAGGTCTCAGGAGCAGGCCTCAGGAAATCGATTATCTCTAACTTCCTGGCCTGCATTCAACTGCCCCAAGGCAGGACTCTTATCTTCCCCCATCTTCTGATTGTGAGTCTTAAGATCCTCTCTAAAGAGGGTTCTACCCTATAGCCTGGGGGAGGGCATGCTGACATCATGAAGCTTCCCTAAGAATCTGTGGGAACTGTAATTGGAGAACTCAGGGATAGCATGAGGGAGGCATACCCAGTGAAAGGACAAAAGACCACCATGGATTTGATATAGCCAAAGAACTGCCATTTTAATCTTGCTTAGCTTTGTCATGTTTTTCTAGCAGTTCATTTTACTTTACCCTCTAGTCATTAGCCAAGGACAGAACCATTTTCCTTGAGATA